TAAAACAGACTTGTTTGATGGGGATAGGTATTCCCCTGAAGGGAAATGGGAGAAAAATACAAATTTGAGATAAGTGTGACACTGTGGGCTTATAAAATGACAGTGCCAGGCGTGGTGGTGCACGCCTTTAATCCCAGCACTTGGGAGGCAGAGGCAGGAGGATCTCTGTGAGTCCAAGGCCAGCCTGGTCTACACAGTGAGTTCCAGGACAGCGGGGGCTACAGGGAAACCCTGACTTAAAAAGACCAAGAAAAAAAAAAATCTTACTTTTATTTATGTATATGTGTATTTGTTTGCATGTGTGTGCGTGTGTAAGTAAGTGCCTATAGAGGCCAGAAAAGAGGTCCTGGTGCTAGGACCTGAAGTCAGGTCCTCTGAAAAAGCAGGAAGCGTTCTTAACTGCTGAGTCATCTCTCTGACTCCTCACTGTCTGTTTTTTGAACAAGTACTATAGACATAGGTTTAGTAAATTGCTGGTTCAGGCCTGGATCACACATGAGGTATGCTCTACCCCCACTACCGGGAGCTGGGGCAGGAAGGCCAAGGGAAGCCAATCACATGGACTGGAGCTTAAGTTTCACTGGAAATTTCTTGACCTCTGTGCAGAGGTCTTACCTACACAAAGGCCACACTATCTCTTTAGGGAGGGCTGCAGGCAGCCAGCTCCTGACACATCCTGGCTAGGTAGCTTCCTTTTCTCAACTGTGGCCAGCCCATTCTTCTTGCTCTAGCAGCTGTTGCCACAAGGAAGAGGCTGCACAGGACAGCCAGAAACCCATCTTGGGTAAGGACTCTCTGCTTTTTAAGACAGGGTATCATATATTCCAGGTTGGCCTGGAACTCACTATGTAAGTAAGGATGACTTTGAACTTCTGACCTCCTGCCTTCACTTCCTGAATGCTGGAATTATAACACGTGCCACCACACTCCACTTACAGGGTGCTAGAGATCAAACCCAAAACTTCATGCATACTACACATAAGCACTCTACCTCCTGACCTATACTCCCAGTTCAGTGTCTGGTTTTATACCACTGAATGTGTTCCATGAGGCCCACCCACAGGACCTTGCTCAACCATAGGATGAAATTAAGAATGAACTGAAAACTTTTCTGTTGTTGTTTTGTTTTGTTTGAGACAAGATCTCACTATGTAGTACTGCCAGGTTTAGAACTCACCATGTAGAACGAGCAGGCTCCTAACTCAGAGAGATCCACCTGCCTCTGCCTCCCAAGTGAGCCACTACACCCATCCCCAGATTGAGAACTTTTAAAAACAGATGTAGCAAGGCGTGGTGGCGCACACCTTTAATCCCAGCATTTGGGAGGCAGAGGCAAGTGATCTCTGTGAGTTCAAGGCCAGCCTGGTCTACATAGTGAGTTCTAGGACAGCTGGGGTTACAGGGAGACCCTGTCTCAAAAAGACCCCCCCAACCCCCCCCCAAAAAACAGATGTAAGCCGCTATTAAATATTTCAAATTAATGTGTTGCATGCAACCCTTGAAATGAGGAAAAAGAGATTATTTCAGCATTTGATACAAAGAAAAACTTGTTTCTATGACAATGATTCAACAAGAAAAAGCACCCCGAAGAACTGAATGCACACAGCTTCATTGTTAGGCCCCAGGTAGGTTGGGAAGGCCCTGGCTTGCAAGGCCAACAAATGAAGTAAGCAGTAACTAGAAAGCCTGTCTCCCCCTTGGGAGAATTATGAAAACTGCCACCATGTGAAGATGGGGACATCACTGTGTCTTAACTTGAATACTCTGCATGCTGCCACTCTAGCAGTGCTCAAGGACAAGAACCAGCAACACAAGCTGTAGTGGGTCTTGTACAAGGCCCTGTGAGGAGCTCAGGGTGGCTCTGTAGGAGAGAGACAGCTACCACTATCACCTTTGCCCAGAGGGGTGCCTCAAAAGAAATGACAGCTCATTCAGCGCTATTGAGCTCTTGCTGAGCACCATATCAAAGCTCAAAGTGCTGGAAGGAACCCTGGCCTCAGGAAGTACATGCTTAAGAATAAAGGTGGGGCTGGGGAGAAGACTCGGTAAAGTGCTTGTTGTGTGGTCATGAGAACTTGAGTTTGATTCCCAAGCACCTAGGTAAAAGGTAAAAGCCAGACAGTGGCATGTGCCTGTAACCCAGTGCTGGGTAGCAGAGACAAGAGGATCCCTGGGGTTTGCTGACCAGTCAGCCTAGCCAAACTGGTGAGCTCCAAGTTCAATGAGGGACCCTGTCTTTAAAAATAAGGTGGAGAGGGGCTAGAGAGATGGCTCAGAAGTTAAGAGCACTGGTTGCTCTTGCACAGGACCTGGGTTCAGTTCCCAGCACCCACATGGTGGCTAACAACCATCTGTAACTCCAGTTCCAGGGGATCCAGTGCCTTCTTCTGGCCTCCACAGGCTTTGCAAGACATGGGTGCACTTCCATACATGCAGATGTAATACTCATACACATAAATACTCATACACATAAAAATAAAAAATAAAAAAATAAGGGGGAGAACAATTGAGGAAGATATCACCATACCCATCATACACACACACACACACACACACACACACACACACACACACACAAATAAAGATGGCAAAGCTGGGAGTAATGGCACACACATGTAATCTCAGTAATCTCAGCACTAGGGAGGTGGAGGCAGGAGAATCCTTGGCTACGTAGTGAGTTTGAGGCTAGCCTGAGCATCTCAAAAAACTAGAAAAGACAAAAAACGAAAAAGAAAAAGAATAAAAGTGGTCTTAGCCACCTGGTACAGCTCTGCTCAAACCACAATGTATAAGGGATAGTAGGCAATGGCTGATCCCCACAGGCAAGGGGGAACAACAGCCAGGACAGATTTTTCTTTTGCCTTCAATGAGTTTCTACTTAGCAAACCTCATGGCCTCAGTAACTGTCCCACCATGATGATGGAAATCCAGTGGTTTTACACAGCAGCTCCCTGTCTTGTTACTATTAAAGGCATTGGGCTTGATTCTGAGGCAGGGTTAACAGGGCACCTGCTGCTTGGAAGGTGTTTTCATTTCATTTCTGTTGCTGTGACAGATATC